TGCTGCTGCTGGGGGTGCTGAGCCTGGGGGTGCGGAGCCTGGGGGTGCTGAGACTGGGGGTGCTGAGCCTGGGGGTGCGGAGCCTGGGGGTGCGGAGACTGGAGGTGCTGAGCCTGGGTGTGAGGAGTCTGGGGGTGCTGAGCCTGGGGGCGCTGAGGCGTCTGGTGAGCAGTCTCCCGGGAGCGGCCGTCTCCGTAGTCGCTCCGCTGGTGCCTCGCCGCTGCACTCTCGTCGTCGACTCCCTCTCTCCCCACAGCAGCTGTTTGAGTGGTACGCTGGCCGTCAGGGTCGCGCTGCTGGAGCTAGGGGCCCTGCTGCGGGAGGCGCTGGAGCTGGTGACTCTGCCACTGGAGTTGTTTCTACTGGAGGTTCTGGAGCTGCTGAGGGTGCTGGAGCTGGAGGTGCTGGCGCTGGTGGCGCTGGAGCTGGAGGTTCTGGAGCTGCTGAGGGTGCTGGCGCTGGAGGTTCTGGAGCTGCTGGAGGTACTGGCGCTGGTGGCGCTGGAGCTGGAGGGTCTGGAGCTGCTGAGGGTGCTGGCGCTGGAGATTCTGGAGCTCCTACGGGTGCTGGCGCTGAGGGTTCTGAGTCTGCTGTTGCGCGGTTTCCTTGGAGTAGCCGCCTTCGTCCGCGTGTGCCTCTCACCTCGCAGCAGCTGCACGACTGGTACGGTCGCCGTCAGGGTCGCGCTTCTGGAGCTCGGGGCTCTGCCGCTGGAGGTACTTCTGCTGCCGTTACTGGAGCTGGGAGTGGTGCTGGTCCCGGAGGTGCTCGTACTGGAGGTACTGGAGCTGCTGGGGCTGGAGGTGCTGAGCCTGAGGGTGCTGCTGCTGGAGGCACTGAGGCTGGAGACCCTGGGACTGGAGGTGCCGGTTCTGGGGGTGCTGCTGTTGGTGGAGCTGGTTCTGGAGGTGCTGGAGCTGGTGGCGCTGGAGCTGGAGTTTCTGGAGCTGCTGAGGGTGCTGACGCTGGAGGTTCTGGAGTTGCTGGAGGTACTGGCGCTGGTGGCGCTGGAGCTGGAGGTTCTGGAGCTGCTGAGGTTGCTGGCGCTGGAGGTTCTGGAGCTGCTGGAGGTACTGGCGCTGGTGGCGCTGGAGCTGGAGGTTCTGGAGCTGCTGAGGTTGCTGGCGCTGGAGGTTCTGGAGCTGCTGGAGGTACTGGCGCTGGTGGCGCTGGAGCTGGAGGTTCTGGAGCTGCTGAGGTTGCTGGCGCTGGAGGTTCTGGAGCTGCTGGAGGTGCTGGAGCTGCTGGGGGTACTGGAGCTGCTGGTGCTGGTGTCACTGCACAGCCGCGCCTGTTCTTCGCTCCACCGTCTCCGTCGTCTCAGCCACCGCCTGACTCTGTGCTTCGCCAGGTTCTTAGTCTCCCTTCGTCTACTGGTCTTCCGTTACAGCCTGGCTCACCGCTGCCTGCTCCTTCTCCTTAAACTGAGCAGCTAGGGAGTCTTACTGAGCGTCGTGAGCCTGCGTCGCGTCCTGTCTCGCCTGTCTGGTCTGGTCGTTCCGGTCGTCGTGTTCCTCGTCCGCGTCTGCCGGCTGTCCCCGACACCCACCTCGTAGTCCGTCGTCCTTCCTCTCCTCCGCAACGTGTTCCTTTGCCGTCCCCTCCTGCGTCTTCTCTGCCTGTCGTTGCGGACCCCGAGTCTGACCGATTTCGTGCTGCGCACCCTACTGTCACGCGTCTGCTAGCCACTGTTGTCACTGACCCGTCGTTTGAGTCTACTGCTGCGTCTGCCTTAGTTGCTGAGCTTGTGGACTTTGCTGCTGCCTGTCGTCTAGACTACGCTGCTAGTCTTGTTGCTGAGTCTGAGTCTGTCTGTCCTCCGTCCGTCGGGGGTGAGTGTGCTCTTGGCACGGACGTCCTTGAGGACAGGCAGGAGGACCTTGAGTGTCTTGCAGCCGCTGCGCCTCATCTCGTGTCCATGCTGCTTGCCCCTGAGGGAGACCCGGATGCTCCAGACATCCCGACCCCGCGCTCTTACGCTGAGGCGATCGCGGGTGAGTACTCCTCTCAGTGGCAGACAGCCATGGACGCAGAGATGGCATCCTGGAAGTCCACAGGCACCTACGTCGACGAGGTTCCCCCACCTGGGGCGAACATCGTCAGTGGCATGTGGATTTTCAGGGTGAAGCGGCCGCCGGGTTCTCCGCCTGCCTTCAAGGCGCGTTACGTTGCACGAGGTTTCAGTCAGCGAGAGGGAGTAGACTTCTTCCAGACCTTCTCCCCCACCCCGAAGATGACCACTCTTCGGGTGCTGCTGCACGTTACCGCTCAGCGTGACTACGAGCTTCACTCTCTTGACTTCAGCACAGCCTTCTTACAGGGCAGCCTGCACGAGGAGATCTGGCTGCGCCGCCCACCTGGCTTCACTGGGTCGTTCCCTCCTGGTACCCAGTGGAGCCTCAGGCGGCCGGTCTACGGTCTCCGCCAGGCGCCACGTGAGTGGCACGACACACTGAGGACGACACTTGCGGCTCTTGGGTTTGCTCCGTCGACTGCTGACCCGTCGCTGTTTCTGCGCACCGACACTTCGCTGCCGCCGTTCTACATCCTCGTGTACGTCGACGACTTGGTCTTTGCCACTGCTGACACTGAGGCTCTCGCCCTGGTGAAGTCGGAGCTGCAGAAGAGACACACGTGCACAGACCTGGGTGAGCTGACAAGCTATCTTGGCTTGCGGATCACCCGGGACAGAGCACGCCGCACCATCACACTGACTCAGTCACACATGGTGCAGCAGGTCCTTCAGCGCTTCGGCTTCACCTGGTCCTTGGCACAGCACACTCTTCTGGCTACAGGTCACTCGCTCTCAGCTCCACCTTCGGACGAGTTCGTAGAGCCGAGTGGTCCTTACCCAGAGCTAGTGGGCTGCCTCATGTACCTGATGACCTGCACTCGTCCTGACCTTGCGTACCCTCTTGGCCTTCTGGCTCGCTACGTGGCTCCTGGTCGGCACCGAAAGGTGCACATGGATGCTGCTAAGAGGGTACTACGCTACTTGTGCAGTACATCGGGCATGGGGCTCGTGCTTGGAGGACGGAACGACGTTGTCCTCACTGGGCACTCAGACGCTTCTTGGGTTGACGACCAGGCTACGCAGCGGTCATCACAGGGTTACACCTTCAGCCTTGGTTCTGGTTCGGTCTCTTGGCGTTCTACACGCTCGTCTTCAGTTCTCAGCTCCAGTTGTGAGGCTGAGATCTACGCCACAGCCATGGCTGCACAGGAGTTACGCTGGCTCACCTACCTGCTGACCGACTTGGGAGAGCGGCCTCGTTCTCCTCTAGTGCTGTACGTCGACAACAAGGCCGCCATTGCCTTGTGTCAGGAGCACAGACTGGAGCACAGAACGAAGCACATCGCTCTGCGTTACTTCCTGGCTCGAGAGTTGCAGCAGCGTGGTCAGCTTCGTCTTGCTCACGTGGCCACTCGGGCCAACACTGCTGATATATTCACCAAGGCGCTTCCGTCTGGTGATCATCAGCGTTTTTGCACTCTGTTAGGCCTTGTGCCCACGTTTCCTCACTTGCTGTAGACTTTGCTTGTACTGTGATCTATATATATACCTGCATGCTTGCTCTGCTAGGTAGAGATCACTGTGCTGTTGTTGTTGCATATCTACCCCTGCATGTGAACTGGCCTTGTGGCCCTTTGCTTGTGCTCAGTGTGTGTGGTGACGTTGTGATCCACCCTGAGCTTGCCTTGCTTCTCTTGACTGGTCTTGTGACCCCTTGCTCTCCCCCACTTTGCCTATGGGGGTGTGTCAAAGCATATGCTTGTTATATATGTGTAGGCTGTAGTGCGGTAGCCAATATGGGGTACAGCCCCTTCTAGGGTTTCATACTTGTACCCAACTCTTTCATAGTTCAATCATTCCTGTCTCTTGATTCTGACAGTTTGGTGGTGCACCCTCATGCTTGCCTATAACTTGTACCCAATTCTATAGTGCAACCCCTCCTTTGCGCTACTCTCGCTCACGTGCCTCACCCCTCCTTCCTCTCGACATTCACCTAGGCTAGGGTTCCTCCTAAGCCTAGGTTCACCTACTATTCTGACAATATCAGGGTAAAATACCATTTTTGCCCTAATGGGCGGACGCTTTTTGGCAGTTACCCTTGTAGAATCCGTGTAACAAGATTTTTACCCTAGAGCAAAAAGGCTAACCTTTGTTTTACCCTGGGACCGATTCTTGTTACCCTTCTTGTACAGGGTTCGCTCCGCGCTACTCTGATACCGGATCTTCCTTACCAAGGATCCGGCCACAACGTCCTGACAAATAATCACATGGTCCCACCGCTTCCCTTGTCGATTACGACCACAGGTGCAAAACCGAAAAATCCTGTCGGCGGGCCGCCACTTCTTCCTATTGGTTGTTTGAGCCAAGCTTCAGCCAACGCACCTTTGAATCCTGCCACAACACGCCATTCCCACTGCCAACTGTGCCAAGTAGCGCGCCAACAGAGATTCGTGCTGTCCCACGCATCACCTGTCCCACGCATCAACTGTCACCTAGTATTTGAATAATAGCAATTGTTACATGTGAACAAGAAGCCTTGGCAAAATACACAGTAAACAGCCTAACTCCAAAGTTACATTGACAAAAACAGTGTACCAAAATTTGTAGGCTGTTTTAGGCAAGGTATGATTTTTTTTGCACTAAGGGTCAGGGTACAGCAAGCCTGAAACCCTGATTAGACTGGGTGGGCCAAAACCAATTTTGGGCCCTGGTATGCAAGCACGTTTCAGTAAGGTGGTTTGAGTGTTGTTCATCCTGCCTTGTGTACTGTACATGCGAGGCTATATTCCCTAGAATCATTGTGCATAGTCAAACAGTAAGTTAGTGCAAATGTGCACACGCAGGGCTGCATACAATGTTAGTGCACTAAAGGACCACTGGCAGATTCGATGTGGGGACAACAAAGTGGACTAAAAAGGAGCACGGCTTGCCACCACCACTACTAGTAACATCTAAACAACTGTTATGGTACAATGCAAGGAGTAGCCTACGAGACATCATGCGGTAAGCCAGTGTCCATCCATGAAGGCAGCTGCATGGCTGCTACTCCCACCTCCGTTGTGGCTGGTCGATCAAGTGGCGAGTCAGAGTCCCCATCAGCAGCATACCCCTCTGCTGGACTGCCTGCACCGTTGGGTTGCTGTGTGGATGTGCTAGGGGATGCACGCGTATGTGATCCTAAGGATGGGGAGTTGGCGGGTCGCTCTTGTGAGACTTGGTGATCGGCAAGTGAGGAGGAGGAAGAGGAGGAGGCGGAGGAGTTGGAGGGGGAGCATCCGGTGGGTGGCAGGGGCAGCATGCGCCAACGCTGCAACCCATCTGCCACGTGAGAGGTGCTGTTGGGATGACAGGATCGGGCAGACACACAGATGGGATAGGAAACACTTGGCATGTGCAGAGGGAACAACAGAGGCATCAGGAAGGCTCATGGGGAACCACGGACAGGAAGCGTGTGAGGATACTCAGAGAGGAGTGAAGAGAGAACAGTGGACGGGCGAAAGCGAGTCCGTAATACTTGCTGATAATGACTGGTTGTGAAAAGGGGGCGCATCGGCACAGTGAAGGTGTGAAGCGGCACGCACGCACACAGTGAAATGGGGGAAAGTGTTGAGATAGAGTAGTACCTGAGGTTATCACCGATGCACTGTGGGCAGGAGGCAAGGCCCTGCAGACACTCTGCTTGCAGCGAGGAGAAGAAGAGGGAGAGAGGAGACGGGGGCAACGAGGGAGAGAGGAAACGAGGGGGACACGAGGGGGAGATAAAGCGGAGGGCTGATGGAGCATGGAGAGGTGGTGGTGAACGGGCAAGAAGGGAGAGCAATGCGCACCGACGGTGGCAAGTCACATGGTGAGAGTGCTGGGAGGGAGGGCGGGAGGGAGGGAGGGAGGGAGGGAGGGAGGGAGGGAGGGAGGGAGGGAGGGAGGGAGGGAGGGAGGGAGGGAGGGAGGGAGGGAGGGAGGGAGGGAGGGAGGGAGGGAGGGAGGGAGGGAGGGAGGGATGGAGGGGGGGGGGGGGGGGGAGGGAGGGAGGGAGGGAGGGAGGGAGGGAGGGAGGGAGGGAGGGAGGGAGAGAGGGAGGGCGGGAGGGAGGGAGGGAGGGAGGGAGGGAGGGAGGGAGGGAGGGAGGGAGGGAGGGAGGGAGGGAGGGAGGGAGGGAGGGAGGGAGGGAGGGAGGGAGGGAGGGAGGGAGGGAGGGAGGGCGGGAGGGAGGGAGGGAGGGAGGGAGGGAGGGAGGGAGGGAGGGAGGGAGGGAGGGAGGGAGGGAGGGAGGGAGGGAGGGAGGGAGGGAGGGAGGGATGGAGGGGGGGGGGGGGGAGGGAGGGAGGGAGGGAGGGAGGGAGGGAGGGAGGGAGGGAGGGAGGGAGGGAGGGAGGGAGGGAGGGAGGGAGGGAGGGAGAGAGGGAGGGCGGGAGGGAGGGAGGGAGGGAGGGAGGGAGGGAGGGAGGGAGGGAGGGAGGGAGGGAGGGAGGGAGGGAGGGAGGGAGGGAGGGAGGGAGGGAGGGAGGGAGGGAGGGAGGGAGGGAGGGAGGGAGGGGAGGGAGGGAAAGAGGCGGCAGGTTGGAGTGGAGCCTTGGAGGGCACGCACCGAGGGCGCAGGGCATGCCGAGAGTGGCGACACCGGTGTGCAGCACAGCGAGCAGGCGGCGGCGGTCCTGGGGCGAGTGGTGGTCGGTGACAAGGCAGCGCGTGGCATACGACTGCGGCAGCAGCAACGTGTCTCCTCCCCTCTGCGCCGCTGTTTGCTGCTCGCTCAACGGCCACCCGTACACAGTCACCTGGGGGCAGGAGTGCGGGTGCAGGGTGTGAGGAGGATGGAGAGTGAGTAGTTCCTTCCAGAAAGCAGGATTGTGGCGGTGTGGATGCAACAGTGACGTGTTCCTACTAGTAGGAGATAACAATTACAGAGCTACCAACTGGAAATTACTAGGAAAGGGGAAAAAAATAAAAAAGCACGAAGGCAGCACAGACTGTAGAAGGGAAAAGGGCAGCAGGAGAGTGCGAGCGAGGCAGTACCCGTCTGCACGTGTTGAGTGCAAGCATGAGAGCCGTCCATCCCTCCGATGCCTCTGGTAGCCCATCCTCCTCCTTGCCTCCCTCACCTCCTCCTCCCCCTCCCTTTTCCACCCCCACTGCACTGCTGCCTGCCCCTGTGCCCGTCTCATCTCCGCCTCCCTTTCCTCCTCCTCCTGCAACAGCAGCAGCAGAAGCAGCAGCGGCAGCAGCAGCGGCATGGGTGTGCCCCATGAGGCGGTCTAAGTGGCGGGCCTGAGAGCGCACGTATGTGAGGAAGGCAGGCGACAGGCAGTGGTGCCGCTCGTGCTTGCTCGTGGTGCTGCAGAGGAGGGGAGGGGAGGGAACGAAGGAGAAGAGGAGTGGGGAGTGAGGGAACAGGGGAATGGGGGAGTGAGATCGGGGAGGGGAGAGGTGCGGGTTTGAGCATGCAGGGACCGCTAGCTGTGTGTGGCAAGCGTTGGACGTAGGAGCGTTGGACCGCTAGCTGTGTGTGGCAAGCGTTGGACGTTTCCAGAAAGAGAGAGCGCGAGAGGGGGGAGGTGAGGGAATGCATGAAGGAAACATGGTGAGGGTAGGGGAGGCAGGAACGTGAGAGAGGGAGAAGGGGAGAGAGGGAGAGGGGGGAGAGGGAGAGGGAGAGAGACAAAGGAGTGAGGGAGAGAAGAGAGGAGCGAGGGAGAGAGGGAGAGGCGAGGCGAGCTCACTTGCGGCGGCGGTAGGAGAGGTACTGGCGCATGCCCCTCTCTGACTGCACCGCCACCAGCACCATCTCGCGCTTCACCTCACGTGCCCCCTCCTGCTCCTCTGGCCGCACCACCCTGATGCTCGTCTGCAGGCGGAAAACGGGACGGGGGGAGGGGGGGAGTGGACGGGGGAGTGGACGGGGGAGTGGATGAGGATGTGAGGAGTGAGTGGAAGAGGGAATGTGCAGCCTTGAGTCTTGATATCCTGTAGTAAATCGGGACACAACTCCCAAGGGGGAGGGCGCAGGGCAACCCCGGGACGGGACAATATGCACCCGTGCAGTGCACTGCATGGAAGGTGGCAACGGCAGGGTTTGGAGCGCTTTTTGAGGCGCCTCAAAAATCAACTCCCAAGGGGGAGGGCGCCGGGCAACCCCGGGACGGGGCAATATGCACCCGGGACTACATGGAAGGTGGCAACGGAAGGGTTTGGAGCGCTACGCAGGCAAGCCGACAGGCAGATCAGCAGGCAGGTACGCAGCCAAGGAGGTAGGGAGGAATGGATATGAGGAGGTGACGAGGCAAGGAGGTAAGGAGACAAAGGAGGGAAGGGGAAAAGGCAGTAGGCTGGGTGGTATATGTGAGGTTGGATGTGTGGGAAATAAGAGAGAGCAGACCCCAGCAGAGCACAGCAGAGCACAGCAGAGCACAGCAGAGCACAGCAGAGCACAGCAGAGCCCGGCAACAGCACACATTAGTCTAATTCGGTCCATCCCGGCCCAGCCCAGCCCAGCCCAGCCCAGCCCAGCCCAGCCCAGCCCAGCCCAGCCCAGCCCAGCTCATCCCAGCGCAATCCAGCCCAACTCGCCTCACCACAACACCACACCGCACCGCACTCCACTCACCCGTGACCCCACGAATCCGCTCCAGGGCCTGGCAGCAGCAGCGCCCACGCGGAAGATGGCTTCATGGCGGTCAATGTGCGCCCCACAGGGCAACGCCAGGAGCGCTGCTGACTCGCCCACCACTGCACAGCTCTGGAACACCCGCCCCCGCACATTGTCCGCCTGCATGCAGGCGCGGTGGGGCCACGGGGGGGGATACGGAGGGGTATGGAGGGGTATGGTAGGGTATGGAGGGGCAGGGAGGGGCACAGAGGGGGACAGAGGGGCAGAGAGGAGTGAGGAGCGCTGCTGACTCGTCCACCACGGCGCAGTTCTGGAATACTCGCCCCCCCATGCTGCCCGCCTGCATGCAGGCGCGTGGTGGGAGCAGGAGGGGATACGGAGGCGTGAGGAGGGGCATGGAGGGGCATGGAGGGGCATGGAGGGGCATGGAGGGGCATGGAGGGGCATGGAGGGGCATGGAGGGGCATGGAGGGGCATGGAGGGGCATGGAGGGGCATTGAGGGGCATGGAGGGGCATTGAGGGGCATGGAGGGGCATTGAGGGGCATGGAGGGGCATTGAGGGGCATGGAGGGGCATTGAGGGGCATGGAGGGGCATTGAGGGGCATGGAGGGGCATTGAGGGGCATGGAGGGGCATTGAGGGGCATGGAGGGGCATTGAGGGGCATGGAGGGGCATTGAGGGGCATGGAGGGGCATTGAGGGGCATGGAGGGGCATTGAGGGGCATGGAGGGGCATTGAGGGGCATGGAGGGGCATTGAGGGGCATGGAGGGGCATTGAGGGGCATGGAGGGGCATTGAGGGGCATGGAGGGGCATTGAGGGGCATGGAGGGGCATTGAGGGGCATGGAGGGGCATTGAGGGGCATGGAGGGGCATTGAGGGGCATGGAGGAGAAGCGAGGTGGAGAGAGGAGTGAGTAGGTCGGGGAAGAGGATGTGATGTGACAATGCAGGGATGATTCAGGAATAGGAAGGAGAGCAGCACGGGGGAAGGGAAAGGGGGTTGGGAAAGCAGCGCTGGGTTGCGAGGGAGAGAGTAGAGCAAGCGACAAGACAGTGTAACCAAGCATTGCATTTGAGGCGCCTCAAAAGTAGAGCAAGCGACAAAGACAGTGTAACCAAGCATTGCTGCTGGCTGCAGCGGCAAGTGGGAGATAGGAGGGGACAGCATGGGGTGATGTGATGGGTGAGGGAGGAGCGACGGACAAACAAGCTGTTCAAGGGGACTCATAGGTACGAATCAGAGGAACAAGCACACGCAGGTGACAGGCAGCATGACGAGAAGGAGACATAGGCAGGGGCAGGGGCAGGGGCAGGGGCAGGGGCAGGGGCAGGGGCAGGGGCAGGGGCAGGGGCAGGGGCAGGGGCAGGGGCAGGGGCAGGGGCAGGGGCAGGGGCAGGGGCAGGGGCAGGGGCAGGGGCAGAGGCAGGGGCAGGGGCAGAGGCAGGGGCAGGGGCAGGGGCAGAGGCAGGGGCAGGGGCAGAGGCAGAGGCAGGGGCAGGGGCAGGGCAGGGGCAGGGGCAGGGGCAGGGGCAGGGGCAGGGGCAGGGGCAGGGGCAGGGGCAGGGGCAGGGGCAGGGGCAGAGGCAGGGGCAGGGGCAGGGGCAGAGGCAGGGGCAGGGGCAGAGGCAGAGGCAGGGGCAGGGGCAGGGGCAGGGGCAGGGGCAGGGGCAGGGGCAGAGGCAGGGGCAGGGGCAGGGGCAGAGGCAGGGGCAGAGGCAGGGGCAGGGGCAGAGAGAAGAAGCGGTGGGGGTTACCGTGGGGAAGAGGCCTTTAGTGCGCAGCCCCTTGGTCTTGGGCGGCTTAATAGCTTTCCACACCGACTTCATCCCCGGCCCCTCTATCACCGCCCTCCGCACCTCCCCGCCCTGCTGCTCCCCTCGCACCCCCCGCCCCTGCTGCTGCTGCCCCTGCTGTTGATGCTGTATGAGGCGCTGTGGCTCGTCTGCAAGAGTGCTCACTGTGTTGCTGCGACAGGGCAAGGGAAGGGAACCATGGATGGGGGACACGGACGGACAGAGGCACGCAGACCAGGCGGGCAGGGGTGAGATGATTCGGTGAGCGCAATGGTGGCAGTGTGATAATAAGGAGGGGACGGGATAACCTGACAGTTGAGGCAAGGATGGCAGGGCGTCATGCTGAGACTGTGTGTGTGAGAGCGTGGGAGGGACCGTCTTTGAGTCGACTCAAAAACAGGCTCATGGTGAGACTGTGTGTGAGAGAGCGTGGGAGGGAACTGTGTAGAGCCCACACCCGTGGAAGAGGGAGAGAGTGGAAGCAAGTGCTGGTTACAGCACGAGGCGGGTGAATGGGTTGTGGGGGAAGAGGGGGTAGGGGTGGATAAGGGGACCGTGGGGGATGTGGGGGGTGTGGGGGGTGTGGGGGGGCGGGGGTAAGGGGGAGGGAGCAAAGGGAAGGAAGACAACGGATGGCTGATGGAAAGCAGAAGAGAGGAGAAGCAGATCAGAGTCCATGGCACGCACAGGCGGCCCAGGGGGGGGGGAACCGACATGTTGTTCCCTTGCCTGGGCGAACGGTGCTCGCCCTTTCTGATGTTAGATGCGATGACGCAGAGCATGTAGGCACAGCAGGCAGCAGCACGCAGAGGCAGCACGCAGAGGCAGCACGCAGAGGCAGCACGCAGAGGCAGCGGCACGCACATACATACCTGAGGAGAGGAACGGCAGTGTCGTTGCCTTGGGTGGGCGGAGTGAGCTCGTCCAGCCCATTCCGTGACACGATGAAGTCCCCCAGGAAAGGCTGCGGCACGAACAGGGGAAGCCCGCCCTGCGCCCCGTCCCCTTGCACCGCCCGCTCGCCCTCCAGGCGGAATGGCGCGCAGGCGTAAGTGCCTGGGGGAAGGGAGGAGAGGGAGGAGGGGGGAGATGAGTGGGGGAAATAGAGTGGAGGGCGTGACAGGGAAGCTATAGAACAAAGTAGGCAAGCTTACACAGGCTGTCGTGAAGGTTACTCGGGGGGTAGCCCAGGTTACTCGGAAATGTACCCAGTGTTATTTGAGGTGTATCCAAGGTTACTCACAGTGTAGCCAGGTTTGATGAGGCAGAGAGGCACGGTACCTGGCCTGAGGGCGGGGCAGAGAGGCACGGTACCTGGCCTGAGGGCGGGGCAGAGAGGCACGGTACCTGGCCTGAGGGCGGGGCAGAGAGGCACGGTACCTGGCCTGAGGGCGGGGCAGAGAGGCACGGTACCTGGCCTGAGGGCGGGGCAGAGGCACGCATTGCGGTAGGGCATGCCGAAGGGCTCGCAGCTCGCGTCCACGACTCCAGGCGCAGCCGGCCTGCCCTGGGTGGCGTTTCGCCCTTGCGAATCCCCTTCCCCTGCGAGCAGCACAGGGGCACGGAGAGACATAGAGGCAGAGAGATAGAACGGTATTAACAGCACGATGGGAGGGACGCAGAGCGGCAGTCCGTGGAGACGACAGGCCAGCCAGATGATACGTCAAGGCGTGCGTACGAGTAACCTCTTAGAGAGAGAACGCCAGCTCAACGCTAAGACCAAACCGATGCTGTCGACCTCCCTCCTTGCACCATTCCCCGCGCCAAGCCCAGCGAGCTACGCCAAGCCCAGCGAGCTACGCCAAGCCCAGCGAGCTACGCCAAGCCCAGCGAGCTACGCCAAGCCCGACCCATCAGCAAGAACGGCTGGATCAGGTGGATTAGCTGAATCGGGGGACTTTTAACACTTGCCCCCCTGGATTTGAGGTGCCTTGGAAACAGACCCCTCATTGTGAGGCGTCTCAAAATCAGCCGCCTAAATCAGGGGCTTACAGTGTAAGCCTCTGATGCCACAAGCTTGGTGCAGCATGCCCCCACACTACCTCGCGCTCCCCTACACTCCTTCACGCTCTAACGCACTACAATGCACCAGCAGTAACTTCATCTCCTCCATTTCACTCCCTGCTTCGTACTCCCTGACTCCCCCATCTCCGATCTTTTTACGTTGTCTCGCCTCGTCTCGCATCGTCTCGCATCGTCTGGCACCGAACGCGCTCTCTCGTACCGTCTCGCACTCTTTTGCACGGTCTCGCACTGTTTCGCACCAGATCGCACCCTCTCGCATCCCCTCGCATCATTTCGCACCGCGCGTTTCCTTTCAAATAACACACAGTTCACAGCAGCAGCGCGCCCGCTCAACTGGATGTACTAGAACACGCAGAGAGGCCTGGCATCTTGCTGACGCCAACAATTGATCACGACTGATCACAATCTCCTGGGAGAGATACACAAGGGAACATGAACGAACAACAGTCCCAGCCTTTCCAGGCCCAGGCAGTAGCAGGGAACGTGTATCGGCCACTGACTCACCAGCACCACTTGCCGCGTCGCTTCGACCTCCCACTCCCTTCCCCGCCACAATTCCGCGCTCCTTCTGGAACAGCAACGACACGCGCTTGCACGACTCCGCTATTGTCACACACCGCTGCACGCCCGCGCTATCTTCGCACTCCAACTCACTCGATCCCCCATCGTTCCCCTGGGGTCCCCCCCCCTCGTTTCTTCCCCCTGCGCCTCCCCCGCTCCGTTCTTCCGCACTGCTAGGCCGACCGGGACCGAGCCCCTGGGCGCTTGGGAGGGCGACGTCGCGACCCTGACTGCCATTCAGCCGGCGACAGTTTAGAAGTGACGGCTTGCAGGCAGATAACTGCTGCTTGCAGACGACCAGCGCCGCTTCCAGCCGGCGATGCAGAGGGAGCTGATCCAACCCGCGGGACGCTAACCGCGTTGACCCTTGCTTCATACGCGATATAAGGACGCCCGCTGCTTGTTGACGACTTCTACGAAGAAAACCGGTTTCGGATAAGTCGGACGGCGCCTGGCCCGAATGCTCCTGTATAAGCGGCTCCGGTTGTGGCCACAGCGATCCGGGCTGCGTTTCGCCGATCCACACGGAGCGAATCACGTCGCGAAACATAAGAACGCCGAGGAGGCTTATCGAAACGGCCACGAGGAAGAGAAACTGCGGCACAGACATGCGCAGTAGCAAGGCGATCGGATTCCGGCTCTGGTTCATATGCAGGCTCGTCTTCGACGCCGACCGCGTAAAGTTTATTTTCGGCTGCCCGAGATGCGAGGGGGTGTTGGCTCCTGAAGCACTTCCGGAGGGTACAGTCAGCATGGGTCCCCCTCCTGCCGCTGCATTGGTTAGCGGCAGAGCGTTGTTGCCGCCGCACGCCGAGATGCCGTCCAGCGTGCAGCCGGATGCGAGGCTCGCGACGTCCGACGACACGGTAACCCATGGATTCTTCCCGTTCACGCTTCGCGATCGTGCCGCCTGCATGCTTCGCGAGGCGGGCGGGCGGCGTCAGATGATAACCGCACCCGCCGCGGATCACGCTTCTCTGAAGGATCTCCCGACCAATATCTCCAAGTGCCGATCGATGACGCGATTCGACGGCGAGATCAAGAGAGATCAATGCTGGTCAGCTCAAGACATATGCTGGTGAAACACGGACGTTACTATGGACCTAATCTGCTATTACCTATGCGGTGCGGTCTGTATGGTAACCAGTCGTTAAGTAGGAATGGTTCCATGGCGGAGTACCGTGAATCTGATACAATACAGCTACAGAATCCGGACGTGTAAATCTAGAGCGGAGGTGAATCCGAACGACCTAAATCAGCGCTGCGAAGCAGAACAGGACGGACACGAGAGACAGCAAGTATCTGGACGATATCTAGCAACGGTCTACGTACGAGTAAGAGACGTCCGAACACACATACTATTTCGAGAGAGTCGAGCTGGACGGCTTAGATGGTACGAAAGAGAAGGCAAGTTTGATCCAGATTCGAAGAGTTCTTATGGAGGAAACGCGATCTAGCTGGAAGAACAGGAATAACTAGGCTTCGGAAAAATGGCTCTGTTCGAGCGACCACCGTAGTGCAACACCCAGAATCCTACTAAAACACCTTGCACACCGTGGTAAAAATCGACTAGAATCCCCTTATAGCTGATGCACCACTCCCCGAACCTTTCCTAGGGTATGAACCACACAACCATTGGTACAATCTATGGCTGTTTCAGAGGTAAAGCTCAAAGTTCTGACAATGTCTGGGTAGGAGCGGTGCGGTCTGGAGGGTAGATCAAGGGAAACCTGGGATTTTGCAAATTTGCAATAACCCCGAATACACTCACAAACAAAGCCCCCAGCAACACACCCATATTCGCCAGCGTTGCGGATGTGTTTCGCTAGCGAAGCTGCGAACAACGCACGAACGTCGATTGGCGTTGGTGGCACCCTGTTTGTGGCTGCGAGAAGAGGCGGGTAGATCAACACCAGGACATGGGAGCCGTGCGTCTATTGGACGAAGCCTCTGACAACAATCCCTCGTGACCAGTCTCGAGGATGGTGGGGGCATTCGCTGTGGCCGCGCTAGAAATGAGCCAGCCACACTTCTGGCGCGAAGCATGGAACCCCAGAGGTGATCAGAACCGAGCTGTTGTTCCGTAACATCATGATATACAGCAACAATGGGTGATACATACACGACAGGTATAATGAAGTGAAAAGAAATCATTCTCGACCCGCCTCCAACGTATACAACTGACCTCGACCGTTCTTTGCCCCAACTGTGCACCGACATTTGCCAAACCATGGTTCGCTGTGTAACGCCGCGTCAGCCTACCCTTTGAGAATAGCCCGGACCAAATTTAATGCGTTCATAAACCATTATTTGTTTTCGCTTTGAAGCGAACCTCATATTAATGTACACTCACATTACATGTTATTTCGGCGACAGTACAACCCTTGCTCGATCGTTCCATTGCACATGTAACCAAAATGTACATGATGGGAGCACAATGCACAGCGTGATGAATGCGCTCCACACTCACCAGCAATCTTTGGCTGTACGCAATGTCGATCTTGCAGGCAAGATCTCGTTTTCCAGCAAAAAAACACTGTTTAGTGTACTGCCGTATTGCATTGCATCTACCATATGATGTTTATACAATACAGATACAAACACATTGCATGGCTGAGCTTCGAGAGTGTCAAGTTACAAATGGGGTTCACTTCACTTTATTTCGGCATCGTTAACCAGCAGCTTTTGAAACTCTCAGCTCTTTCCTCCAGCCGCCAGAACTCCTGAACGAGGAGACAAGGGAGCGTGGAAGAAGGGGAGCGCGAGGTTGGCGGGGAGAGGCATGGCATGGCACGCAGGTGGCAAGATATGTTAAAGAAGAGAGAAAATGAGTCTACATGGTAGATGCTCAAGAGCGAGCAAGGTTGAATGATATGAGAGGTGTGGCACAGCAGCAGTGAGCATGAACAACAATGCCGTTGCCTTTGAACGGTGCACTGCCTTGGACTGCCACGCCTCTCACAATCAACCTGACAAGATCATCTGCTCCGTTCCACTCCACTCCGCTATAAAACACACCGCCCTGCAATGCACACTGGCCGTACACAATCACCCACCCATGCGACAACCACGCATTTGCTTCCCCCCCCCTCCCAGTCACAATCAACTCCCTCTAAATCCCCACCACACCACACGACTCACCATCCCGGGGGTCGTGCGTGAGGTCATTGAACGTCTCTACACCGTTGCGTGCCAGGGACTTGAGCTGGTAGTCCACCAGCACCAACTTTGAGGCGCCTCAAAAACCACCACACGACTCACCATCCCGGGGATCATCCGTGAGGTAATTGAACGTCTCCAGAGCGTTGCGTGCCAGCAACTTGAGCTGGTAGTCCACCAGCACCAGCACCTCACTGTCCGCCTCCACTCGCCCCTCCACGCCCACGCCTGCCAACTCCGCCCATTCTCCCTGCAAACTCCGATTCTCCCTGCATACTCCCAGCCAGCTCCCCCCAATTCCCTGTCAACCCCCCCTAAACCCACCCCACGACTCACCATCCCGAGGATCGTCCGTGAGATCATTAAAGGTCTCAAGAGCGTTGCGTGCGAGGGCCTTGAGCTGGTAGTCCACCAGCACCAGCACCTCACTGTCCGCCTCCACTCGCCCCTCCACGCCCACGCCTGCCGCCACCACGCGCATCTCGCGCTCCCACACGGACCCCTCGGCCCACAGCTGGGCGAAGTACTCCTCCTTGTACAGCTTGTACACGGCCAGCAGCGGGTCGAAGAAGTGCGTGTCTCTCTCGTTGGTCGCGATGTAGAGCGTGCTGCCTGGGGGGATTCGCTCTGGGAGCTTCTGCAGCAGGCTGGGGGGGAGAACAGGGGGTGGCATGGGGGAGGGGAGGGGGTGGCATGGGGGGAGGGGAGGGGGCACAGGGGAGGTGGGTGGTCAAGGAGAGGGGGGTGACATGTCATGTGTATGTGACGCACACAGAACCCCATGTCTTCCGCTGACCAGCGCCATCACCATCATCACCACCAGCACCACGATTCACACCCTCCATGAATAGAGCCAGAGGCATGCACGGCACGGCACGGCACGGCACGGCACGGCACGGCACGGCACGGCACGGCACGGCATGGCACGGCACGGCACGGCACTCACGCCTTAGGTCGCGTGTCGCGGTCGAGATGCGGCCACATCTTAGGGTTGACCTTGTCCCCGCGCCGCACGTGCACAAAGTCAAACTGCTGCGGCCCTCCCATGGCGTTGGCCATGGTTGATGCGATCTTCACGTGCGGGTCGATGGGTCGCAGAAAGTCCGGGTCTGGTGTTACCACGTCCTGGCAGGTGCGGGGATGCAGGTGGGGGATGCAGGTGCGGGGATGCAGGTGCGGGGAACACAGGTGTATGTGAGTGCGTGTGGGAACGAAAGAGAGAATCAAGTGGGACGGGTGACTTGGTGTGACGCACATGCACGCACAAATTTGCACACTGGCGCTGTATCGTCTTCAACTGTCCCAAAAATGGGAGTGAGCATGGTATATGTAACGTGAAGCATTTACAAAAGGGGACGGGACAAATGGGGACGGGACAAAAGGGGACGGGATGACTGCAAGACTGAGGCAAAGACTAAATACGTATAAGACTGAAGACGTATTAGACCGTGGTCTCAAGTTGGGACACCATCGAAGTTCCCCCACCAGACCGTTTTTCCGAGGCTGATGGTGTCCTGGTGGGGAAACAAAATCCCAGTTTGGACAGCGACCCAACATTAGGCAGGCGACAGTGGTCGTTAGCATCGCCTGACAGGTGTCCAACATCAGTTGTTTCGCAACCAATCAAATACTCTCGTCAAAACGGTACGACTCGCTTTGACCCAACCTGCTCGCCATTGATGAAACAGAGAAGCCTGACATCCGGGCATTGTAAACAAACGAGGAAACAATGTCGGGGGGGTTTTAGTTTACTAAATAGGGCTACACTTCGTTTCTGCCATCGTATGGTGTTTGTATTGGATAGGGACGCACAACATCTAGTTTCTGGGCAGTCGAGAAAATGAATTTTGACGGCAGTGGTAGAAACCACCATCCGCTAATGGCAGGATCGCTGAGGTCGCTGAGGTCGCTGAGGTCGCTGAGGTCGCTGAGGTCGCTGAGATCACGGGCAATGCTGTCGTTGAAACCGTCGTCGGTTGAACGCAAGGTGTCCTAAACTCGAACCGCGTGGGGGGACATTGAAATGTCGGATAATGCCGCGTCAATTTTTCGAATCGCGTGGGGGAACTTCGGATGGTGTCCCAACCCTGGCCAAACGCGCTTGACACGAGGTGGAGCCGCGCCCGCACGCGGCTCCAGCCTGGTGTCAATGTTGCGCACATTGGGCGATTTCCCGCGATCACATTGGTCGGTTTAGCTGACACCAGGAGGACTAGTCCTCCCTGTGTTTTCCGAGTTGGTGTCATGACATGACACTAACCACTCTTGACACTTGCCAGGGATACGACCTAAAGACGTATAACATCTTAATCTTGGCTGCTGTCAAAAATCTCGGGAGCTGACAGGACTGCATGAAAAGCTGACACAATTCTGCTGGACAACGCTCCATAGGGACAGAGTAGAGGGGAGAGAGGAGAGGGGCGAGGGGAGAGGGGCGAGGGGCGAGGGGCGAAGAATGTGTGTTGCAAGTCACACACGTGTAGTCAGCACCACCGCACACCTTGAGCAGCACAGCACACACACATAAACCTAAGCTTTTGAGTCGACTCAAAAGTCGCCCCAAACTGCTCACCTGGAGAGTACACACGCGCGCGCACCTGGTTGGTCTTCTTGTAGCACACCATGTACCCGAACTGCTCCTCCTGTGGCACGCACCTGTATTCAGCCCCGTGCATCTTGAGCAGCACACTGCGCACCGTACATACACCCAAACTGCGCACCGTACATACACCCAAACTGCGCACCGTACATACACCCAAACTGCGCACCGTACATACACCCAAACTGCGCACCGTACATACACCCAAACTGCGCACCTGGTTGGTCTTCTTGTAGCACACCATGTACCCGAACTGCTCCTCCTGTGGCACGCGCACCACCAGGAAGGCGTCCTTGTGCTTGGCGAGCTCGCCCGTGCGCGGCCCCATGTCGAAGTAGAGCGGCGGCACCGTGTGCCACGGGCCAAAGCGCGCCTCAAAGTGCTCTATCAGCATCACTGGCTGCCGGCTGGGTGGCGCGGGACAGGGGGAGAATGGGGGGAGGATGGGGGGAGGACGGGAGTAAGATGGGGGGAGGACGGGGGGAGGATGGGAGAGGATGGCGGGAAGACAAGGGGATGACGGGGGGAATGTGGGGGGGGGGGGGGGGAGGAGGGCGGGGGAACACGGAGGGAAGACTTCACAACCCGTTTAAGGACCCCAACACAGCACCACACCACTTACACCCTACCCCACCGCACCGCACCCCACCCCAACCCCCCTTTCCCGCCACCTCATCATGTGGGTCAGATTGTAGTACAGTACAGCCCCACCTGACTCTGCTCCATGAGCCCGCTCTTATGAGTCGACTCAGAAATCACCGCATCCCACCCCACCGCAACAAGACCACGCCCCACCGCAACCCACCCCACGCCACCCCTCTGTCACCTCATCATGTGCGTGAGATTGTAGTACAGCCCCACGTGCTTGTGCTCCATATGCCCGCTCTTGGAGTGCGTCTGCGCTGCGACAGGCATCTATCCGTCACCAGCACCCGCCCTCACACCACATGCCCTAATAGCGCCTCTCAGGACCTCAACACCCCACAGCACCGCACCCCACCGCAACCCCCCACCCCTCTGTCACCTCATCATGTGCGTGAGATTGTAGTACAGCCCCACGTGCTTGTGCTCCATGAGTCCGCTCTTGGAGTGCGTCTGCGACAGGCATCTATCCGTCACCAGCACCAGCGTGCGCCCCAGCGCCTTCGCCTCGGCCGCCACGCACTTGAGCGTCCACGACCAGTGCGACTACCCCACGCACCGGTCCCACGTGGGCGACCATACGAGGTAGTACCGCTCGCCGCGCGCCGCTGCGCGTTTCATCTCGTCCCGGTACGCCCGCTGCTGCTGCGGCGACAGCTGCGCCTGCGATGGCTGCGGCGGCGCCGCTCCCACCCGCTCTGCGCCGCTGCTGCTTCCGTCGGAAGACTCTTCGGACACTGCCGCGGCCTCTTCGCCCCGCTCTTTATTCTCTCGCGCCTTCGCCTCGTCCCCCGCATTCCACGCGGCCTGCTGCTGCTGCTGCTGCTCTGTCTGCTGCGGCCACTCCCCTTGATGTTGATTGAACTGCTCCTGCTGTTGCTCCTGCTCCCGTTGCCCTTCATTGCCTTGCGCCTGCCCCGCATCTTCCTCCCCTCCGCCTTCCATTCCCGCCGTCCGCGAACCACCGGCGCCGGGTCCCGCCTTCCGCCACTCGCGTTCCGCGGGGGCCGCCGCCCACCACGCGCCGTCCCCCAGCCGCGCCGGCGAGTTAATCTGCGCGGGCGACGCGAGAAATTCCGCCAAGAAAAGCGCCGCAACGGCCGCGAGGAGCATGAGAACAACGAGGCGGTGACTTCCGGCGGGTATCGGCGACGGCCATGAGGACAAAGCCGCCTCCCACGCGGCCGGGGATTTACCGCCACTAGTTGTACGAGGCATAGTAGCATGATGGCCTTTAGTAGAGCCCTTGGTAGGGACGGGCTCGTGCGCTCGCGTGGACGGGGAAAGGGCGTCGCGAGAGTCGAACATCGCGACGTGGCTTCAATTAGGCAGTCGCGCGCGGCAGCCCTCGGGAGAATCGTGAGTCGCGATTGGAGGGTAGGTTGGTAAATTGGAGATTTTTAGGTGGAGTGGAGACGTCGCAGGAACGTCACATCCGATGTTTTGCAAGTCGCAAGTCGCAAGTCGCAAGCGCAATCTTGAATACGAAATCTACTCACATCGAAGCAGCCTGCTGAGTACAGAACTACGAGTGGAGGGTTTCAATTTTTGATGTGACAGAATTTACAATTGCAACACATGGGCCTGAAAATTTGTCAGCTGACGAGCCTGCCTTTGCCCCGATTCGTGATACTCACTCACTCAGCTTCTGTCCACCTGCTCAATTTTGGTGCCGTGGGCAATGACAGCCGTCGGGCTTCTTGATGCTGCTCAGCCGACAAGACGTCCCCTTGACAGAACCATTCGACCCATGAGGGTGAGGAGCCATTCTACAACTTTAGGTTTCTGCCTGGGATCTGTAAAATTTGGGGGATGCCAGCAAAATGATATAGGCACTGAGTGGTAATCGTGGAAAAAAATCTTGCTGCAACCTGTTGGTCGCGTAACCGGGCAACAGTGGCAAAGGCAACGTGAATTGCGATATTTCTTCTCCACAGTCATCGTCACAAAACCCAAGAAGGGGTGTAGGTTTTGTGTTTCCACACTGTACTAGATATCTTGTACCTTAAGAAACTCGAGGAACCAGGTTGCCGGGTAGTGCTGCTGGGTGGTGCCTTTTTCCGGGTAGTGTTTTTTGAAGGATAAATCTACAAATAAATGTACAGCATCCGCAGTCGTAACTGTTTTCCCGGGTAGTTGTCACTCATGGGTTCCGCCTCTACCACCTATCGCCTTTTAAAAAATCATATGGATTTACTATTTCTAAGGTCAGAGGTTCACGAATCCGTAGTTAGTGCGGATATTCACGTGGTGTTCCTGCTGCATCCAGGTGACTGACCCCTCAAAAGGATTCCATTTTCCTCTTTGTGTCACACACAGCTGCCACTGGCCCAGTTGGCCCCTTTAGCCAGATCCGCAACGTCCCTCCACCTCCCCCATCCGCAGCGCAGCAGTGCATGTTACCAAGAGACAAGCGGCGAACTCCCTCGTGCCCAAGCGGTGTAGTGGTTCTTGGGCGAAGCAGGCCCTCGACGGAAATGTGCACGTTGACTTGTTACAAACATGTCCACCGTCCACTAGTTGGCGCTGTTGGCCAGCACTTCTAAGGGCGTGTAAAATCCCCTCACAATTGAGAACTTGGGGTTTGGCCGAATTTTAGTAGACCATATGGTAGATTTTTTTCAAGAAAGTCGACTAGGTGGCCGAATCAGAGTCGACTCGTTTACATTTATAGTTTTGCGGAAATACAACATTGGTGGCCGATTTGCAGGCCGCTTCGGGAAAGTTGTAAAATTGGTTGTGGCCAAATTGCGCGACGGTGTCTCGCACTTGACACCGACGCTGGCACAACCAATGAATGAACATGGGAACGGAGGGTCAAGAAGGAATTCGCGGCTCCATTTACACACGGATTGACCACTCATGTTTAGCCAAGTGCTTGCGGGTTTGGTCACGCTACATAATCTGGTCGGCGCTTCAGTTTAAAAAAATCATCCCAATGGATTCCCACTTTAGCCCACGAGCCACCCGCACTTTAGCTGCGGGGGTTGTACAATGCGTTCTCGTCCCATGGATCATTACCGTGGGCCTTCTCCTCCCGCTGCTTGTTGATTTCACTGACGATTCAGAGTACCAGCTGTTTTGGCAAATGGACCGATCCATCCATAGAGCAAGATGGATGGATTGCTTCTTGCACCTCTCGCCTGAACATCTCCACTGTCAGACTATATTCTATATAGCTTATTTAGTTCTAGTCTAGGTACCATACATTTTCCCTAGGTTTGCTCATATACAGGCCCTCAGATATCAGCGTAAAACACGCTGATTAGGCTGATTTTGTAGCTCTGATTTTCGTTTTCCCTGAAATTTCAGTATCTTGATTATGTTTGCACTGATTTTTCAATTTAAAGTTTAGGACTACCCTGACGAATTAGTGTTAAGGTGTACCTGTAACACTGAAGCATCAGTATAGTGTACCGAGTCACACTGATTCGGTCTTAGCAAAAGTCCTAACGTACAGGAAATGGTGTGCGCGCACGAACTAGTAAACCTCTCACTCACGGAATTTGAACCCAGGACATTTCCGGTACAGGACGAAGCCTAGACAGCTGCGCCAGTAGTACCGACCAGAACGTTCAAGTACAGTTACTACACTGAGAGTTCAATCTGCCATGGAATTTTACCCTGACAAAATCAGCATAAAATAAACCCCCAACACTGATTTGGTCACGACTTTGGGCAGGGCACGCTGATCCATCAGCATGCCCTGAAACCAATCTGAGGGCCTGCTCATATAGTTCCTTGTACTCTCATTTCTAGTCCATTCTTACATTTTCATATTGACACATGATATAGAGCGAAGTTTGCGGAGAGTCACTCTACAACGTTAGTGAGCTTTACTACGGGGGTTGGCACGAACTACTAGGAGTGATCGTAGCTTTGCCTAGTTCCTTAGTGCTTGCACAATCACGGGAGAAATCGGCAAGAGTTTCCACTAGCAAAGTTGGAATTACAGAATTGTTGAACAAGCAATGACAAAATTGACTACATCAGGCACCTAGCAATCCTGCAGCTAGCCTGGTCGACCGCCAGCACAGCTTGGTCGACCGCCTGCCAGCGTTGCGTAGAGGAGCCGCGCCAGCACTGCAGAAGGGCGACCTGCCAACACTGCAGGTCGACGGCGTGCCAACGCTGCAGCAAAGCGGCTGTCCAGCGTTGCCCCGTAGAAGACAGAAGTGCGCACGCTCGCAGGTGCGCGCATACGATTGGCCCGACTTGCACCGTTGTGCATGCGTCGGCTGTTGTCTGCGCCTGACGAGCCACATCGACTTCGGGATACCAGCCCGAAGTCGCTTTCGCCATCGCGACCTTGACGACGCTCGCGTGCCTCCGCAGAACTCGTCGAACAAGTTACCCGGTCGACCTGGTCGACCACCAAGTGCTCCGGTCGACCACCAGTGCCTCTGGTCGACCACTAGGTCCCTCTGGTCGACCACCAGGTCCCTCTGGTCGACCACAGCTCCCGTCGAGCTACCTCCTGGTCGACGGACTCCTTCCGTCGACCAGAATTGGCAGATGATGTCGCTGAGCTCCCCTCGTCGACCGCTGCTCAGTTGTCAGGTCGACGGACTGCTCCGTCGACCTCCCGGTCGAACTGCAGGTCGTCGGACTGCTCCGTCGACATCCAGGTCGAACTGCACCTCCTGGTCGACGGCCCACCCGTCGCCCAGACCAGTCAGTTGCAGCTGTCGAGCTCCCTGGTCGACAGCAACACCACAGCGGTCCCCTGCAGCTGGACGAAGCCTGTCGAGCAGCTCTCCCACTGTGAACGGTCGGCTGCTACTCCCATACATCCGACCAAGTCGTCGACGTTGCCCAAGCGTGGGCGGGGCCAACACTCCATTCCCATTAACACTCCCCTGCTGCGCTCACGCTTGGGCCTCCAGCCCACACGGCAGTACTCCACGGAGAAAACTCGTCCTCGGCATGCACCCCACACACAGCACGCCGTCACCGCACCAGCCGTGCAGAAGGGCACGGCACCTACTGCTGCAACTCATCGTCGCCATCGCCGACGTCGGCCAGACGAACTTGGCCGATGGCGACAGAGCACCGGTTGAAAGCCGGAAAATGCAGCGCCTTCGTCAGGAAATCCGCCGGCTGCTCGATGGTCGGGATGCACTTCAGCTCGAACTTCCCGCGCCTCACCATGTGCTGCAGCCAGGCGTAGCGTCGCTCCATGTGCTTGAGGTTGCCCGTCAGCCCCAAGCCCTCAGCGACCGTGATCGCCGACTTGTTGTCCACGCGGAGGACAGTCGGCTTCCCAGCGTCGAGCAGCTTGAACTCTGCTAGGAGGAAGCGCAGTCGACGCCCCTCCTTGCCGGCGTCCGTGGCCGCGACATACTCTGACTCGGTCGAGGAGAGCGTCGCGCACTTGATGCGCTGGCTCGACCAGGAGACCGCGGCCCCTCCGAAGACGAACACGTAGCCGCCCATGCTCGTCCGGTTCTGCTTGTCGTCCGCGTCATCGGCGTCCACGTAGCCGATCAGCTCCAGCGACTCTGGTCCACCGCCGAACTCCAGGGCGGTGTCGCGGGTTTCGGCGAGGTAGGCGAGGCAGCGGTCGACCTCGCGCCAATGCTGGTCGCTCCTCACCGTGAGGCCGCTCCCCAGCTTGCTGCAGGCGAACGCGATGTCCGGCCGCGTCGTCGTCGCCGCGAACTGCAGCGAGCCGACCTTCTGCCAGTACTCCTCCTCCTCGCGCTCCTGGGCCTCCTGGTCATCGAACGTCAGTTCGGCGTAGGCGTCGACCGAGACCGGCGTCTTCGGGATTCGACCGCCCTGCTCCTCGTCGATGAAGCGCCTGCGCAGCTTGTCGGCGTAGCCCTGCTGGTGCAGCCACAGCTTCCTTGCCGGCCTGTCGCGCACGATCTCCAGCCCAAGGTACTTCACCACCGGCGAGATCTCACGCACCTCGAAGGCGGCCTCCAGTAGCTCCTTCAGTTCCTTCAGCATCGCGGTGCTGCTGCTAGCGGCGAGCAGGTGGTCGACGTAGACAAGCACCCAGCAGGTCACTCCGTCGTCGCCGGACTTGAAGTAGAGTGCCTCGTCGACCTGGCTCTTCTTCCAGCCAGGGCCCAGCAGCACACCGTCGAGAGCCCTGTACCACAGCA